AAGGAAACATATGGTTTAGTAATGAAAAAGAAAAATTTTAATCAAGATTTTACCTGGGTTGTCCCACGCTGTCCAGGAGTATCTTGCATATATAGGACTCAGATAGTTTCGTCTTTACCTCACCAGCAGTAGAAAATTTGTTTTTTTATTTATTTATTTTATTTTATTTTTTTATTTGTTCTTATTTTACGTTAATCACTCATGAAAAATAAAAATAATAAAAATTAGCATGTGCATTGCGCGCACATTCCAAGCAAAATAATTGAAAGCTTTTTGATTCTATTATTGTCTTTTGTTTTGGTTTGTAAGATCGCGGCGAAAGCTCATACACATTCCGAACTTTAAAGTTTTAGTGCTGCCAATAGGGCAGAGCATGTAAATTAGGAGTTTGATTGTGTTAAATATTCGGAATGTAGAAAAAGAAAAAAAAAAAGAAAAAAAAAAAAACCAAAACAAACAAAAATGTTAGAAGAACGGAAGGTTCTGCTACCCCGCAAATTTTGGTAACTGAAAAAGAATTTAAAAAAAGGCCAGTTACAAGTATTAGCGGTGGTATAAAATTGGGAAGCGGAGCTGAAAAGAGGATCAGTTTTGGCGAATCTAGATGGTGAAAGGTTGTGTTAACAATCAGAAGACTAACAAGAATTTTAAATATTATATATATAATTTTGGCGAAAAGTTCTTTTTGTTTGTGAAAACTAATGATATTGTTTGAAAGAATACTGATATAGTTAGATCAGTTTGTATTTTTTTTAAATTCAACATTGTGAACAAGAACGAAATCCTATAAAAATTAGAATATAAAAGTGATTACAAAAATATCAGTTTTGTTGAAATAAAGTCTGTAAGAGTGACTACGTATTGTGAACAAGAACGAAATTATATAAAAATTATAATATAAAAGTTACTGCAAAAGTAGCAGTTTGGTTGAAATAAAGTCTGTTAGATTGGCTACGTATTGTGAACAAGAATGAAATTATATGAAAATTATAATATAAAAGTTACTGCAAAAGTAGCAGTTTTGTTGAAATAAAGTCTGTAAGAGTGACTACGTATTGTGAACAAGAACGAAATTATATAAAAATTATAATATAAAAGTTACTGCAAAAGTAGCAGTTTGGTTGAAATAAAGTCTGTTAGATTGGCTACGTATTGTGAACAAGAATGAAATTATATGAAAATTATAATATAAAAGTTACTGCAAAAGTAGCAGTTTTGTTGAAATAAAGTCTGTAAGAGTGGCTACGTATTGTGAACAAGAACGAAATTATATAAAAATTATAATATAAAAGTTACTGCAAAAGTAGCAGTTTGTGTATATAAAGTATTTAACCTTTGGCTACATAGAATTCCAAACTGTGACCAGTAAAAATGTGGTGAAAATTGGTCCACAATAGGGAGTACTGTAAAGAATTGCTGAGCACCGCAAACAGACAGCTATATTAACGGAGGGCAACAGGATAAAGAACCAACAGTATAAGTAGCGGCATTATCAGGTATTTCAACATCAGTTCTATTGAGAAAACATTGAGGTCGCAGAGTGTAAATTCGCTGATATTTTATAAATTATTGAAAGAAGAAATTATATAAAAAATTGGAATTATATCTATCTGAACTTAAATTTTTCTTGTAAAAATCATTAATTTTTTTATTTATCCGTATTTTCTTTTAATTTTTTTTGAATTTTTTTTCTATTACATTACAATAAATTATTACATTACAATACAATAATATTTATAGTGAATTTTAAAAAAAAAAAGTTTCTTTATTATTTTTAGTTTCTTTGAATTTTTTTTATTGTTTTTAATTAATACATGAATAATGAATATATAAATTAACTTATTGTGAACATAAATTTTTCAAAAGACAGAAAATCTCTTTAAGCACATTAGTAGTTGTTTTGCAATATAG